TTATCAGTCCCATTTTGTGTATGAGGAAGCTGAGGTACAGTGTGGCTACCACCACTCTTGCCAAGTTGCAGAGCTGATAGAGTGGAGGAACCAGGCTTCCAACCTGGCAGCCTGATTCCAGAGGCCATTCCCTTAACCACCGTACTCATTGCCTCTCTCTATGGAAATGGGAGGAGTCATTGCCTGGGAGAGGGGCTGGATGCCTCTCAGGGTAGCAAGACAGGACTGGTTGAACCCATGAAAGTAGAAATGCTCATCTATTAGAGACGAACTTTATAATTGCTAGACTGTGTAGTCCAAACAATAAGTACTATAGGTATTTAGAAGAGAGGATGCTGTGAGAGCTAGTACTTTCATGGAAGAGGTGAAAACTTGAGCTAAACCTTCAGGATGGGTGGACTTGGAGTAGATGGAAACAAAGTCATTCTCAGTCAGGAGAACAGTAGGAGCCAAGGCTCATAAGTGGGAATGAGAGTTGTCCTTTGTGGTCAGTAAGTAGCCCAGCTTGGCAGAAGATGTGTTTGCAAAATTAATCCAGGTAGAAGAGTTTCATTTGCCTTTAAAGGCCCTGAATGGGGCACACTGTGAGGGAAATGACACTGGAGAAGTGAGCCGGGAGTCTTGGCTGGGTAAGGGAGACACTGGAGTGTGAAGTTCCTTAGGAATCTGGGATTGAAGGTCTCCACTAGAAAGGTATATTGTGAGCACTGCCAGTCCAGGACCATACTTACTAGTATCTGCCTGCCTCACATTAGTGTGATTGGGGTGATTAAGGGAAATGTTGCAAGAGAAAGTGGACAAGGCTTGATGATTGAGGGGATGTGAGGGAAGGAGATGGATGACTCATATATGACTCTTGTAATTTCCTTGACTTTTCCCAAAATGTGCGTATCTCTGCCAGTTACTGTGGTTGGGTAGGAGATATCAAAAGCTCTAAACTATGCAGCGTTCCTTATTATTAGAAAGGATATCAATTGTCTTAATTCTAATTGAATAGAATGTCTTGCTAGATGACCATAAAGACCCAGCTTTGCAGTTTAGTGTGGGGAGCTCCTTGGGTCCCTCCCTTCTTCCCCACTTCCCTTTCTGAGGTCAGTGATCAGTCCCTAAGAAGTATTTGAAATTGAATTCCCAAGGAAAACATATTAAGCAGAAGGCCTCAAAGGCCATGGGTATGTAAATACCAGTTCCATATAAAACTGGAGCAACTATTGAGAACTTGTTTGTTTATTAAGAAAGCAAGCAAGCAGATACCTAACATTTACATAGCACTTACTCTGTACCAGACACCATTCTGAATACTTTAAGTGTATTCATTTAATAGTCCTCACAGTAACCCTTTGAAGTAGGTTACTATTACCATCCTCATATTACAGATGAGGAAACTGAGGAATAGAAAGGTTAAGTAACTTGTCAGCCCTGGTAAGTAGCAGAGATCTGAATTCAGGCAGTCTAGCGCCAGAGTCCATGCTCATAATCACTACTCAAAAACTCACTGCCATTGAGTTGGTTCCGACTCATAGCGACCCCCACTGGGTTTCCAAGGATGTAAATCTTTACGGAAGCAGATTGCCTCATCTTTCTCCCACAGAGCAGCTGGTGGGTTCGAATCACTGACCTTTTGGTTAGCAGCCAGATGCCTTAACCATTACACCACCAGTGCTCCTTTAATCACTACAGTATACTGAAATGATTTGTCTTACTTATGAGGACGTGTTAGAGACCTTTACAGGAAGAGTAATCACCACTTATTTATGTATATATCTCTGTGTATTACACACACATACAGGGAATTCACATGTATTCATATAATATGTATTTAAACATTTGGAAATTATATTTAAAGTTTCAGTGTGTGTGTGTTTTCTAAAGTATAAGCTCACTGCCATTGAGTCGTTTCCGACTCATAGCAACCCCAACTTGGGTGTCCGAGGTGGTATCTCTACGGGAGTAGATTGCCCCAGTCTTCCTTCCAAGGAGTGACTGGTGGGTTTGAACTGCCAGCCTTCTGGTTAGCAGTCAAATGCTTTAGGCACTATGCTATCAGTATGTTGTTATGTGCCATCAAGTCGGACCCGACTCATAGTGACCTCTCCTTGGGTTTCCAAGGCGGTATCACTAGGGAAGTAGATTGCCCAACCTTCCTTCCCAGGAGTGGCTGGTGGGTTTGAACTGCTAGCCTTCTGGTTAGCAGTCAGGTGCCTTAGGCACTAGAAGGTAGAAATTTGTCAAGAGAAATGGAAGAAACCATTAGGGAGAAAAGATGGCAGATATCTACAAGTGGCCTTGAAATGTAAACTTGTTAGAAGATCTAATTAGAGGACACTTCAGAACAGATGGGAGAAAAAAAAAACTAGATCTGCTTGAGAAATTGGAATAGAGCAAACACGTTCTATGACAAAATCCCTGTTGTTGTTGTTGTGTGCCATTGAATCCGTTCCAACTTAGCGACCTTATATGACAGAGTAGAACTGCCCCATAAGGTTTCATAGGCTGTAATCTTTACAGGAACAGATTGCTCGATCTTTTCTCCCATGAACCGGCAGGTTAGTTTCAACTGCCAACGTTTTGGTTAGCAGCTGAACGCTTAACCGTTGCACTACCAGGGCTCTAATGACAAAATACTGAGGTTGAAAACTAAGTTTTGAAAAGTTGTATGTCACTTTGAAAATTGGAGTATAGTTTAGGTGAAGTAATATTTTATTTCTTATCAGGGCTTTAATTTTTGTTAGGGAGTGGGAGGTGGTAGGTAGGTGAGTGAGGTGTCAGTAAGAGTTAAACCAGGTATCCTGGGGGCAGTGATGTTCAGTGGTAAAATTCTCACCTTCCATTTGGGAGATCCAGATTTGGCTCCTGGCCAGTGCTCCTCATACATAGCCACCCCCCATCTGTCAGTGGAGGCTTGCTTATTGCTGTGATATTGAAGAAGTTTCAGGGGAGATTCCAGACTGGCAGACTAGGAAGAAAGGCCTGGCAATCTACTTCGAAAATCAGCCAGTCAAGATCTCGTGGAGCACAGGGGCCTGATTGTGAGTTGAGGCCAATTCCATGACAGCTAATAACAATATCCTTGATTTTTGCAACAATGTGTTTCTGGAAACTACAGAATAAGGCAAATAATCCTAAAGTAGATTGTAGTCTCCCATAGTAACACAGTCATATTGGAGAGGCACTATACCTGACACATTATTTATCTTCAAAAATATCAATGATGTGGTGTTAGAAAGGCCAAATTGAAATAGCATAGCGTACACTCCTATAATCACTTAAAATCCCAACTGAGCCATTGGGACTCCTTGGCTTTATTGTTATTGTTGTGCTATTGAGTCCATTCTGCCTCATGGCAATCCTATAGGACAGAGTAGAACTGCCCTATAGGGTTTCCAAGGCCGTAAAGCTTTACAGAAGCAGACTGCTTCATCTTTCTCCCACAGAGTGGCTGATGGGTTCAAGCCACCAGCCTTTTGGTTAGCAGCCAAATGTTTTAACCACTGTACCACCAGAGCTTCTTATGTGGTATCAAGAGTTATTGTTTGTTGTTAGGTGCCATTGAGTTGGTTCTGACTCATAGCGACCCTAGGTACAACAGAATGAAACACTGCCCAGTCCTGTTCCAGCTTCACAAACTTTGCTGTGTCCATCATTTCAGCCAACTACTGTGCCAGTCCATCTCATTAAGGGTCTTCCCCCTTTTAGCTGACCTTCTACTTTACTAAGCATGATATCCTTCTCCAGGGACTGGTCCCTTCTGACAACATAACCAAAGTATATGACACAAAAGTCTGGCCATTCTTGCTTCTAAGGAGCATTCCCAGGCAGGAGAAGGTATTTAAAATAGGAGAAATAACCACAAGTTTGTCCCAGTAGTATTCATTGGAATTTGGAGTTCACTTGTCCTTATTCAGGAGCCCTGGTGGCACACTGGTTAAGCACTTGGCTGCTAAACAAAAGGATGGCTGTTCAAACCCACCAGCCGCTCCGTGGGAGAAAGATGTGGCACTGCTTCTGTAATGATTTATAGCCTTGGAAACCTTCTGGGCAGTTCCCCTCTGTCCTACAGGGTTGCTATAAGTCAGAATGGATAAGATGGCAGTGAGTTTGGTTTTGAATTTTGTCTTTATTCACGTGGTTCTTGGTGTAGTATCCAGTTACTCCTCAGGGGAAGTCAGATATTGCCTCATCTTTCTCCCATGACATGGCTGGTGGATTCAAACCCCTGACCTTTTTGGTCAGCAGCTGAATGCTTTAACTAGTGCATCACCAGAGCTCCTCTATTATAACCCCAGGCATAGAGATTAGGATTTATAACACATATTTTGAGGGCACACAATTCAATCCATAACATTCTACTCTTCGGCTTCCCAAAATTCATGTCCTTTCCACATGCAGAACACATTTATCCCATCACATCATCCCGAAAGTCTTCAATGGACTACAAGTCCAAAATCTCATCTTCTGAATCATCTAAGTCAAATATGGGTGAAACGTTAGGCATATTCTGTCCTGGGGCAAAATTCTTCTTCATCTATGAACTTGTGAGATCTAGACTATAAATTATCTGTTTCAGCGTACAATGGTGAAATAAGTAGAAGATACACATTTCCATTACAAATGGTAGAAATTGATGAAAAGAAGGGATGCCAGGAATCAAGCAAGTCCAAAACCCAGCAGAAGAAATTGCATAAGCTCTCAGGGCTAGAAAATAATCCTCTCTTCTCTGAGACTGTCTGGGCAATGGCCCTGCCTTCCATATTCTGAGTGTTGGCCTTGCCCTCTGGATTCTGGGTGAAGGTCCCTAGACCCTAGGCTTCAGCTTCCCCCTTCTAAGCCCACTGAGATGTCAACTCTGCTCTCTCGGCTCTAGGCAGCCCCATTTTCCTAGTCTGTCTAAGTGGTGATCTCGCCCCCTTGGCCCCAGAAGCCACAATCTTCTGCCCTTCGTGCATAGTAACCCTACCTCCTCAGCTTTGGACAGGAGCCTCATCCCCTGGCACACCCTCATGGCAGCCCCACACTCCGGAAGTGAGTTGGCGAAGATCTGACTCTGAAACCTGAGAGGCTCTGGCCACCCACTTTGAGATCCAGGAGACCATGGCCCCATCCATTGAAACAGAGAAGGCAAGGCCCAGCTTCTTGTGCTCTTTCCAAGAGTTTTGCTGATCTCCACGCTGCTCCAGGGATGGTCCTTTTCTTTTCTTGGAGAACAACAGATGTAGCTCCTTTGGTTTGTTTCCTACCTGTAGAATTCCAAGAGGCAGGGATCGTTGTTTCCTTTTGTTTTTTCTGTGTTCCCTTCCATCTAAACTGATGCCTTTTTTTGCTCTGGCATTTGGTTACATCCATCAGTCATAGTCTCTTTAACAAAAGATCGTGTAGCTATGTCCTTGGTGAAAATTCTGACATTTGTCTTTAGTTTGTCCAAATCTTTAAGTTTTGTTTTAATTTTGTAGTTCATTTTCAAGTCCATCTTTCTTCTTGCATTTTACTATAAGCAGCAAGGAGAAACCACACAGTCCCTTTAAGATCTTGCTTAGAAATCTCTTCAGCCAGATACCCAAGTTCATCATTTACAAGTTCTACTTTCCACCAAGGATCTCTGGTAGCATAGTGCCTAAGGCACTTGACTGCTAATCAGATGGCTGGCAGTTCAAACCCACCAGCCACTCCTCGGAAGGAAGGTTGGGCAATCTACTTCCATAGTGATACTGCCTAGGAAACCCAAGGAGGGGTCGCTATGAGTCGGGTCTGACTTGACGGCACA